TGTGTTTTAAGCACTGAGCTAAGAAGTAAATGCCTGCAGGATCCCTCCATAATCACTGATTAATGTAGACACTCTTAGTGATTTGTGTGTGGCTTTTTGCTGAAGAGAAAAGGGTTGATAATTAACTACTGGTTTTTGGAGGAAAAACAAACAAACAAACAAACAAAAAGAACAACCTTGGATATGTTTTGTTTTATACATGCTAACTGATGATTTAAGATATTTGGAATGGGCAGTTAGCTGCATAGGCAGTGAGATCCATAGTGGTGCATACCTGACCCTGGACAGGGAGCTCACTACTGGGTTTGGGTCTTCATCCACCTTCTTTCCAGCAGAGAAAAATGCAATTATAGCTTTAACTGTATTAAACTGCACTCTTAAGACAAGTTCATGGTTAGGATCTCGTTATCCTTTGTATATGAATGCTCCTCCAGTAACAGAGAGAGGGAGAGAGTTTGTGTGTGTCTATTGTGTTTAATCTGTGTACCAGTGGAGTAGATAATCAAGTGATATGCTTCTTCTCAGATATTTTGGAAAATTAGAAAGGTGGTGTTTCATTACTGAGGCTGATTAGCCAGAAGGATCTGCATGCTATGGCAACCACAACTAGTTTTTAGTGATAATAACAACTCCTTTAGCAATGAGGAAAAACAAAGCAAAAAACCAAGCACCCTACAACAATTTGAGGTGAAGCAACAGAAAGAAATCAGTGATGGTAACCATCTGCAAGCCATGGTTCAGAACAGTATCCTTATACTTCTTTGGAAATAAATCAGCTTTATTTGGGATAGTTCTTTTCTGCTAATCAAGTAAATTCATTAAATGGCTTTATCTTAGATCTTGAGTCTGCTGACATCTCCTGATTTTTGTCTCCTCTTCATCTGCAAACAGTCACAGGTGACAGTGTAAAAACAGAAACATCTGAAGAGATTTTTGAGATCCTGTGTTGTACTTGCAGGTATCTTTTTTCATTTCCATCCATCTGTTCATCTTTCTTTAGAACTGAATTAAGCAGCTGAGTCTTTCACTGCTTTCTTTTGGGAACTGCCATATTGGATCAGATCTTTCCCATAGTAGGATTCTTGCTGCTCCTCATTTCATGCCCTTTCTGTCTTTCTCAGACTTTTTTAGCAATATCCTCTCTGAGACCGGCCACACTTCCAGTAACTTTCCTCTGACTTTACCCTATTTTGTTTTGTTGTTAAACCAAGCTATTGCAGGTTGCAGGTTGGTTTTAGCAGGTTTTTCATTGCTCTTGGAATTTTATGCTGACTTTTTTAAATTAGGCTTTGCTCACCTAACCAATTTTTTTTTTAAATTAGGCTTTGCTCACCTGATTTGCTCACTTAACCAATTTTGGTTTGGTTACAGTTGATCTTCCCAGATATTACCAGACTTTCAGAACTCAAATCTAATTTTTTTTTTCCCAGTTAAATTTTGTATATACGTGTTTAGCATTTTTAATCAATGTGATTATATAATAGGTTTAGCACAAGCTTAACCTTGAGGCTACCTTAAAACCAATACCTGTGGCTGTATTTTTAAGATCTTGTACATATTCCTGGCTTTAATTGTTGCATTATCCAGTAAGCTTCTGTCTACATTTATAGGCATTTAATCCACGTTTTGCTAATTGTTTCTACTGTAATTTCTGATTAGCATCTTTTTAATTGAGGTGTCCAAATAGCTGTCCAGGCTTCTGTCAGTCAGTCTCTTCAGGGGCTATTTCTGTTTCAATCCCTTTCTGAAAACTATTGAACAGTACTAAAATTATATGTATTTTTCAGACAGGGATACTCGATATATATTGTAGTGGATTTGAGAACTTACCTTAACATAGCCACAAAGCTCTAGCTTTCTTTTTATTCTGAGTTTATTTTAATCTCTGTCCTGTACAGTATTGAGTCATGCTAAAAATATCTTGATTAGACTGCCATTGATCTGCAACAGGGCATTAAGGCATGCTGGATGAGTTCTGTGATAACTTTGCTTTAATGAAGCTAGGAAGTGTATCAGAAATTTAAAAAAAAAAATCTGTGATTCTCTACTTCTATGATTTTCATGTGTTTCTTTTCAAGGGTTCTCAAATATTTGCATTGATTTCTACAGTATTGAGTCATGCTAAAAATATCTTGATTAGACTGCCATTGATCTGCAACAGGGCATTAAGGCATGCTGGATGAGTTCTGTGATAACTTTGCTTTAATGAAGCTAGCAAGTGTATCAGAAATTTAAAAAAAAAGAATCTGTGATTCTGTAATTCTATGATTTTCATGTGTTTCTTTTCAAGGATTCTTGATTAATTGCGTTGATTTCTCTTGATACTTTTATTTAGATTCACCTATTAATTTCAAACTCTTTGTTATCCTATTCACATTTTTTTTAAGATTCCAGGCTCTGTACTTAATGCATATTTTGTGACTGACTGAAGCGCATTTTTGCAGAGTTACTGAAGTTTTGAAGAATTTTAAAATCAGATTGTTATATAAAACCTCAACTAATCTGTGTAACAGCATTTTAATGGAATATTGGTTTGGGAGAAAAATTGTTTTGGCATCTCTCTGCTTGGTAGTTTAAAACCAAGCAGACACACTGGCTAGCTATGCTCCTTCCTTTTGTTTTCCAGCCTTGTAAACATTTCCACATTCCATCTGTGATGTCTAGTCCATGCATGAATAAAATATGAAGTAATTTAATACTACATGTTATGTCAGGGGATAACTGTTTATTCTCAGACTTGAAATGAAAGTTTTTTGCATCACATACTGAAACCTTTTGGGTTTTTGCTACTCATTCAGGGCCCTGCCTTTGAGGCTGTGGTGTACGAATATGTCTCATTCTCAGTAATGTGGAAAAAAACTTATTGGTTTTGTACTTTTATTTATATCATGACTGTAATCTTGGAGAGGATGCAGAGGAGGAAAGAGGAGTCAGTTCTCATTTCTCTTCTTACATTGGGACTCTTGAACATGGTACAGAGCCCATGGGCCATCCCAGGTATCACCAAGCAGCTGTGGTTGAATTGCAGACAGGTAACTGGGAGTCTCTCTAGTCCTTTAGCTCAAGACTAGTAACTTTTCAGGTTGCAGGTTTTAACTCAGATGAAAGGATAAAGGCAATATCTTAATAGCTGTGTTTCCATATCACCTGAACCCTCTCTGCTGACATAGCAGGTTGGTATCACAAGGCCATTAGGGGTTGCATGCAGTGGATATTGTGCGTGTATGTTTGAAGCCATGTTAATTGCTCTACATTGGGCAGATTGCAAAGCTTGGTTTTGCTACCATGTACTTGTGCCAGGATGAAGAATTTCTGGGTCCGTGTTTCAGTCTAGTGTAGGACAACTCTCTAAAATGTATTCTTGCATGCTAGTGCATGCTGTAGGGCTTCCAGAATCATTCCATGTCTGAAAACATATCAGTGTGACACAGTAGTGACATACATAAACTCACCCTTGCACCTTGCTGTGTGGTCCCTAACTCCTCCAATCCACATGTAAATGAAGATTAACTGTAGCTTAGGCATTATATGTATTGCTAAGCAGTCAATGCTCAACATTTTAAATAGATGGATAACATTGAACACAACTGACTCTTGTTTCTTGGTTTATATCACTTTAAATAATGAAAGAATGCAGCTAAAAATAGTGCTTGGCTAGTATTTATTAAACATGCTTTTTCTTAAATTAGAACTTAGTGACTCTGACAGGGAAAAATGGACACCAAAACAGCTTGTTTCTATTATTTTGAACACCCTAACATAATCCTATATTTATGTGCAAATGAGAAGTGAATAGTGAAAGAGGTGCTGAAACAAATAATTTGGTTTCTTTATATCTAGTGCTTTCTTCTCAGGAAAAAGGACGCCGTAATTCCAGATGAGGATCTGTGTTTTGTCAATTAATTTGCTGTAGTTTTCCTTGCTGAAATAATTATTAGGCAGATCTTCCTAAACATGTATGTGCCTTGCATCTTCCCTTTTCTCTCTCCTTGATTACAATTCCCCAGCAGACACCAGGTTGCTCAGCAGCCCACTAGACATTAGAAAATCAAAGTCAGAGATATCAAACTCTGATCTCGCATTCCTTTGTGTGAAAATCCTATGTTAGTTTATATGAAAATGACAGACTGTTACTAAACGTGCAAGAATTGTCTTTAGTATTTTCAGGTGTTCATTTTTTCCAGCTTATGTTTGTATCCAGTTAACAGTGCAATATGTTGCCATAGAATATTTAAGTAAATATTTTCAATAGTAACTTTCCACGAGAACAGTATCTTCAAAAATCTCCTTCAATTTACACTGTCATGTGAAAAAAGAATTTGTAGGTATAGATAAGTATAATTGTAAGTTCCTGCTGGGATGTTTCTTTTCATTTTAGTCCATGATCTGTACAAATTTCTTCTTGGAAAAGTAAGAGTGTGTGAAACATGCAGGATATAATGGGAGTTGTGGTTTGTAGAGAACAGAGTCTCTGGAGTCATCTTACAAGTCAGTTTTATTGTGTGCCTATAACTAAAACCATCTGTGCGACTTGCTCTTAGAAATACTGTTTGGACAGCCCTAAATCAAATCCTGAATGGGCAAGGGCACAGAACACAGGTTTATACTGGTATCCTTCAGGTTAAACCCACTGATGTCCAGTCTTTTCTCCTTCTTGGCATAAAATGCATTAGTAAGAGGTAAGTTTGTGCTAGCTGTCCCTGTTTCACCAAGATTTATCTTCTGCAAACAGGCTCGTGTTTACAGAAACCAAAGTGAAAATAGCACATGAACAGCATAAAGTGGCTGCGGTCAGAAGAGTTGTGCATTTGCATAACCCTGCAGTATTTAAAGGAAGGGCTGGCTTACTTTGGTACAGTTTACTACAGGCTTTTCCTTGGGAGTCGGTCCTCTGCAGGCATCTCTCGAGAAGTGGCAGCAGAAGGCTCCAGTTCTAAATAGCATTGTTTTTGCACAGGAGTAGCAAACGAGTTTAACCGTCTCGTTACAGTTTTTGATAAATGGACATTGACATGGACTACGAAAGACCCAACGTTGAAACTATCAAGTGCGTGGTGGTTGGAGATAACGCGGTGGGAAAGACGCGTCTGATTTGCGCCAGAGCGTGCAACACAACCTTGACCCAGTACCAGCTGCTGGCCACCCACGTCCCCACCGTCTGGGCCATCGACCAGTACCGTGTCTGCCAAGAGGTGAGGGCTGCGGGTGTGCCAAACGCCCAGCACGTGCCGTGGGCTTGTGCTCTTATTTACTGGGGAGCCTGTCTTTGTCAGGATGCAGCAGTGTAAATTATGGGTATTTTATGAGTATTTTACGCATCTCCCCACGTCTTTCATTCCAATATATTTTTTATGTCAAACCAATTTTTTAGGAATATGCATATTCTGCCCGTATGATAAAACAGCGTTTTGCAGAGAACCTCATGTGGTAGCCTCCTGGTGTAGTATGCTCTGGACCTTCTTAGGGGACAAATTAGAAATGTACTTGTTTAATGGCGCTAAAAAGAATGTTATGTGTCTTTTGTTCTAGGTCCTTGAACGCTCAAGAGATGTTGTGGATGAAGTGAGTGTTTCTCTCAGGCTGTGGGATACGTTTGGGGACCACCACAAAGACAGGCGCTTTGCTTACGGAAGGTAAATTGATGGAAGTGAAATTTTAAGTAATCCTTCTAGTAAAATTTTAGGACTGAAAAAAATCGCAACTCTTAATTTTGAAAAGTAAGGACTTAAAACCAATCAAAGGTATTCATATTCCTGCCTACTGCAAAGAGGATTATCTGCTGCAAGGATTAAAAAGATATAAATATTTTAAAAGCAGCATAGTTTTACTACATTACATTTCCTTGAACAGCCTGTTAAGCTCTGTCAGCAACTGTTGGCCTATTTCAAATCTTAAAGAACATCCCACAAAATAAGATTGTAGTTTTACAAAACTGAACATCAGTGTTCCCTGCCTGTATAAGCTGTGTATAATATAATTGCCTAACAAGCAACTAGGAGGGAAGGATGTTGGGAAACATCACTCTTACTCAATGAAATATTTATTTTATTAAAACCTGTGATGTTGAAGGGGCAGCTAACCTCTTGAGAGCAGAGCCAGTTTCATGAAAAGTGAGGCTCTTTTGTGTTTTCTTAATTAAAGCTGAGGAGTGTAAAAGCTTTTCTTCTATAAATATCAGGTGTCTGCTAGTGAATCGACTCACCCTGGGCATTAAAAAAAAAATAAATTAAAATGAATGTAATCTAGATTTTTCCAGCATGTTTAATATAAGCTCAGCATAGTTTCCACAAGGAGTGAAGCCAGCAATAGTCTTTCTGTTTTGTTTGATGGTAATTAGATCTGGCCTTGTGGCAGTACAGAGCGCAGAACAGCTGAGTAACAGGCATTTGAATACACATATAATGAGAAAAAATTGCCTGTATTGGGTAAATACTGACCTGAAGATGGATTTTGGACAGGTATTTTCAGAAATTCCATTTGAGCAAGGTCTCAGTCCTCGCATGTGTTTTCACTTTCTTGAACTTTTTCAGATCCTTTCATATCTGCTTTGGTCATTGCAGGTGATCAAACTTTCAGAGATGGATTTTTGGTTTTTTGGCCAGCTTGGAACACCCTTTGTAGAGTGTCTGTCCCAGCTTTGGATTCCGTTTTGAAAAAATGTACTGTCTTACTGTTTCCTTTCTTTCTGTGCTACCTGGTGAATCCATTGACGTTGAAGGATAACTGTCTTTTCTGTTCTCTGCGACCACTGGAGAGAGTTCTCTTGGTTGAATACACCAGTTAAATTGTCACACTGTAAAAATTCCACATGGTGGTTTGTACAAACCCTGCTTTGCATACAGCACTACGTTAGTTGTGTTTTCACAGAGCAGCAACACATCTGTGCTACACAATCTGGACTGTTTGTAAATAAGCTTTATGAGTGAATGAAGTTCCTGACTGAGGTAGTATTGACCTTAATATTTAGTGGTACCTATGTGAATAGACAGTGTTTTACTTTGTGGAAGCATATTGAGCCTTCTTCTGTAAATATGGATGTAACAACAGTTCCACTAACTGTTCCTCTTTGATGTGTCCTCCTGATATTCTGCAACAGATACTGTGTCACTGAGAAGATTACTAGAGATTATGTGAACAAAATCAGGCATGTTCTGAATTCTGATCACACATTTACTGACAAAGACGGAAGAGGGGGGAAACAACATACTTAGATCCTAATCCTGCAGATGCCAAGGAGGACATGAGTAGCTTGAGATCTCATGGGTTTAAGCATATGAACACAGTAATTTATTTGTGATGTTAGCAGAACTGAACCTTGTGCAGTATCAGGTTTGATATACCCTGATTAAGTTAAAAAGACTGTTCTGGAAACCTGCTGTTCTGTTAGTGGTCTTTCTGCAAGTCTGTCAATGCAGAAAGTAACTGGAAAGTCTGAAGAAACTATTTTATGATAGAATTTCAGTTGTAAAATTTCCTACATGTAAGCATTGATTAGGTACTTCACTGTTTTGAAAGGTATTAATGTTTCATTTTAAACCAACTGTTTAGTATTTTATCTATTTTAGTATTGTTAAAAGAAATTTCCAGTATTGAAAATTCATATTTAAAGGAATTTATTTTAAATCACCTCTGAACTACAGTGTGCTCATAGCTGAGTCAAATCTTGCAGTACAGTGAAAGGCATATTTTATGCCAAACTGCTCAAGGCTACACCTACAAGTGCCCCATGTTTCTGATTGTCTGAAGGATCATATAAAAACAAAAGCCTTTAGTTCCCTTCAAAGTTTTTTATACATATGCCCCTTGGGCAGGTGAACACTCAGCCAAGGCCTTTAATTGTTCTGAACGTGGTGTAACAAGAACTAGCAGATCATCAATTCACCTGCTGCTCGTAGGAAAAGATTGTTCTATACAGTTTTACAAAGTGTTACATAAATAGATTATGCTATAAATGACAGGGTGAACAGTTAATAGGACTTGCAGCAAAGACAAATCCTTCTTAATTCTTTATTTTTCAGATAGACACATGAAAGGAGAATCACAAAAGGAATGTTTTCTACTATTTTTGAGTGACAGAAAGAGAGAAACATATCTGAATGCCACTGAGGATGGAATAGTTAATGTTTCTACTGCCATCCCTTGAAATGGGAGTATGGAGAGTGAGATCCAGCTTGCATTCTGCTGTGTGGTGTTTAGTTTAGTAATCACTGTCCTCCGGGAGCTTTGGGAAACAGTTCCTGACAGCTTCAGAGAGGGAGGGGCATGTGGCTGGAGGGGCTTCTGGAAATGCTTGCTGCAGTTCCATGGCATGACATGTATTTTTTCTTCTTTTCCCTTAAACTAGAACGTGTGCTTTAGTTTTGGAAGTATCCTGTTCAGTTCAGTTTAGGCACTCTGTGATGCCAAACAGTCATTTGTTGATACTGTCCCAGAGAGTCCCATTTGATGCAACATCACTCCAGACTCCAAAATGACCATGTCTTTGTTACAATTAGCATATTGATTTCTAGTTCCTAGTTAGCTCTTTGTTTAGTAACAATCTAGTCTCAGTGCTATTGTATTCTCTAAGCCTGCAAATAAGGTGGGAACTTCATATCAAGCTCAAGTTGTTAATAAGTACCATTTTCTCTGGGAGGCACAAAATTGCATGTGTAAAGACATGAAAACATCTTAATTCACATTTCAACATGTCAGGATTCGCTGTCTTCTATCTTCCTGTCCAATTTACTTTTGAATGAGAGTGTCAGCATATCATCTTATTCAAACTAACTCCACACAAAATGGGAAAAAAGACTGGCTTGCACTTTTTTCCTTTCACATTATCTTCTTTTTTTTTCAGGTAAATATATTTGACTACAACTTGATTAATATCCTATGTATCCTGATTTTTAGATGTGCAGCTCTAGTATGTGTAAACATGAGCACAAATCTGCAGAGAGTTAATTCAATTCCAATCAAATATTTATTCTAAATACCATGGATGTGGTTTGTCAGCTGATTCAGCCAAGATGATTTATTTACTTGCAACTTAAATATGAGCTGTAGACCAAACAAAGTCTGTTCATACAGCATGGACTGAAAACAGCTTTTTCCTTGTGACTTACAAATGTGAATGAGCCTTGCTGTGAGACTGCTGACAGAACCTCTTTAAATATGTTTAGAGTATTTCTTTCCTCTGTTGTGAATGGATTTCATAAGCCTTGTGGGCATTGTATATACACAATGGAATACATGCATTCCTCTTTTTCTGTGTGATTACAATTCCCTTTAACTGGTTACTTCAATGTAATTGAATCCACAGAAATACACCTTCTGAATGCTGCTGAAAAGGGTCCATGAGAACAGAGGTTTATCACTGATATTTGAAGACTTCTGCTGATCTCTTTAGGGTTGTTTAGTTTTCTGTTTCTTTTTCTTAGGGGACGGTGATGATGATATTTCTATAAAAACAAAACCCAGATAGCCTTGATGTAAAATGGTATTTGCATTCTGCAAATTCAGTGAGATTAGGGCAAGGTGGATATCTTCACAGAGTTACTCTGTTTGCTTTTGGTTAGATCAGTGCCCTCTGCCACTCACTGCCTGTGTCTAGGCTGAGAATGGGCCAGCAACTCCCTTCCCTTTCTTCAGAGAAGGTCTAAGGTTTCAGAAGTGGTTTGAATGTGCTAGTTCTTCACTTTCTACATACCTTACAAACCATTTACTTGCTTGGGTTGGAGGGGACCATTGGAGATGCCTCTTCACAGCAGTAGCACTTGATAGACACAAGGCAGACTTTTTCTGTGTTAGCAAAGAGTCAGCTGATGGGGAATCCAGTTGTTTCCATATGTCTGTCATCTTGGCTGCTTCCTCTTGCTATGTTTTGCTGACACAAAAAGAGATGTGCAGTATCTCCAAGCCATTTTCAAATACCAAAATTTGTGAGCCTCCTCATCTCCTTTAGAGTGGTTTATAACTTGTTCAGGTTCTACATCAGGCAGTCCTGAAGAACTCCTGGGGAAAAAAAAAAAAGTTATGATATTTTTTCTCTTTTGGGTTTGACTCAGATTAGCTCCAAGAAAGACTATAAGAGAGAGGTTCATAAAGAGCTTTTTCAAGCAATTTTATTCTGATCTGGTGTGTGTATGCTCATGGTTTTAATTCTTTCACTGTCTACATTAACATTTGAGGCTTTTTCACTCGGTGGATGGGAAAGTATGTGCTTTATATACTTAAAGTAATGAAATTAATGCAGAAGTACTACTTTTCTTCTCTGCATCCTACTGTGGTTCTATGTGAGTAGAAAGATGTTGCTATGGAATTGCTGTTCAGAATACTTCATTCTTTGAAAAAGTATGTGCCAAATGACTGGTGGTGGGGTCTGAGGCTCAATTTGGTGTGTATGTAATCATATAGATAGATGTATGTAATCGTATAATCTATAATAGAGAAGACACCTGTAATGCTTTAAGCCTTCCTTGAATGGAGTGAAATAGTATGATCAAATGTTATATAATTTTCCATTTTTCCTTGCTCTTCTAAGTCAATGGCAGAGTGGAAAGAGAGCATTTGGGCTGTATCCTAAAAGACTGCAAGGAAACATCAAAATCTTTTGGAAATGCTAAACCTCAGAAGTGACTTTCCATCAAAATCT